TGGCACAGGACAGAGCGGAGTTTAGGGCTGTTGTACACAGGGTCCCTATGAGTCACGACTCGACGGCACATAACAACCACAACATATATACATATATATATATAGCTTCTTTGCTCAAAAAAACATTCACTGGTAAACTCTATGTACCATCCTTGTCCTCTTCCTCCCTCTTTCATCTTTTATTCTATTATTCTGTTCTACTATGCGTCTTTTTCTAAGTGGTTTCACTAACATACTAATTGATCTCTTCTGCTTCCTTCTCACTTCCCCAGTCTCCTAAAAGGCTACAAGATAATTACTTTAAAATGACAATTACATTTCAATCTGAAAAGGAGATAATACTATATCTTTTCTTAAAACTCTTTTCCTCTCTCCAGTTGAAGAAATTTATTCTTTGTATCTTAAAATGCATCAACAACTGAATGGGTGAGAATGTAGTTTCAAAGATTTTAGAATAGGAGATTCCATATATTTTCTATAAAGTTCCATTCACTGCCATCAAGTCAAAACTGCCTCACAGCTGACCCTCTATTGGGATTCTGAGGGTATAAATTGCAAAGGAGATTGCCCATCTTTCTTCATCAGAGCCACTGGTAGATGTTTTAAGTATGCAGTCCATATACTCTGTGTAATAACTATTCAGTCCTACTTTTATAGTAGCCAAAGACAATATGAAAATGCATTCTAGGAACACTTTAATAATGGACAATATGAGTTGAATTCCACGTAATTTTGACATGTCCACAGGTAATATTGAGACATACTAGGGGACTCTCAGCGCTCAAGGAGTTTTGCTGCTCAACCAAAAGTCAGAACCCCTATTGGTCTAAATTTACCAGTGGTTCCTCCAGAGAAAGATGGGCAACCTTCACATGTAATTTTTTGCCTCTGAAACCTGATTAAAGGTTTCATTAATGAGTTGTTTCTGAATCCACATCAATGAGTTGAGCTGATGTACCTTTCTATAAGACAGTAATTTTATTAATGATTGGGAAATCATATACAATATAGCCATTTTTCTAACAAGTAATATGTTGCCACTCTGCTCTTGAAAATCAAGATAGAGCTTCAAGCTCCAGTCTTTGAGAATCTCAAAGTATATTTAATTACTTACTGGGTCTGGAGGCTTAAAAGAGCTACCATCATGGCTGGGATGAGGTGAAGTAGTTTCTGCAGTATATGCTGATTCTGGACTTGGCACAGGGGAAATTCGACCCAAGGTTTGTGCAAATTTAGCTTCTTTTTTATTTGAAATAAGGTAAGTGATGTCTTTGCTGAGAAATTCTTCAACTCTCTAGAAAAAAAATTTTTTTTCAAGTATTAGAAAAATTAAATTGCTTCACATGCTAGGCACAATGCAAAATTCCAATTAATTTTTATTTATTCTCAATAAATTGGTTATATTTAAATTTTCTTTCAAACTTCTAATGCTGAGGAGGTATAATGACAGTCCTAACACCACAGGGGCACACCATGTACCAGACATTATTTTTAAGTACTTCATATTTTCCAATTATTTAATCCACATAATAGCCCTATGTTAATACTATTATCCTCATTTTGAAGAAAATATAGGCATACATAAGTTGAATGACTGCTTATAATAGTATCACAATAGTATAATAGTATCATAAATCACAATTTGAACAGTTAATTCTGATTTGTATTTAAGCTCTGAAGCAGGATTTTATGCAGTAATTGGAACGTTCTTTTGCTTCCTCTGTCTTAATACAGTGGCAACTTGCTACATGTGCCTATTAAATAGTTGCAGGATGGCTAGTGTGACTGAGCAGTAGAGTTCCTGATTTAACTGAATGAATTAAATTTTAATGTTGGCAGGTTAGCTATTAGTTGGTTCCAACTCAATGGCACATAAAAACAACAAAAATACCTTAAAGCCTTTTAAAGGAAAAAAAATCTTTAAAAACAAAAGAACTTAAACAGCTAATTTTAATTTTACAAAAATATAAACAATAAGTTGTAATATAATTCAAAGGGTTAATGAATCAAACAAACTTTACTTTCCACAAGTGTTAGACGAGAACTAGATTATGCCCAGCTACCACAAGTTACAATTCTTAAATGTATTAATTCTAAAAATCCTAAACAGTAGATCTTATATAGAGTGGTCAAAAAACATGAGGGGGGGAAAAATCGCCACAAAATAGAAAACTGCCCAAGCTTATTTACTGGTCTGCTAAAGACTCTCTAAGACTATAGTTCTTACTCTTCAAATTTCAAATACAATTCACCTCTTTATTGTTAAGTTACAAACTGAACTACTGGGCTATGTTTTTCACTAGATGACTAAAATGAACAACATGGGGGAGGCAGGGGCTCACTCCTTATAAGCATTACATACAATTAAAAGGGCAGTTATTTTCCCAGGGATTAAGCTCAAAAAACAGAAAAGATAGGAAAGAAGCACTAAGGAAAACAAATTATTTACAAACCAAATTTACTTTCATTTTTATACATTGCCAGAGATTCCAGGTTTTCAAGGGAAGTTCAATCTCCTTGCTAGTATTTAAAATATCTCTACTCCCTGAACATATCCACAAGCTATCAATGTGGTGGCAATATCTGCAAATGATTCTGATTCATGGTCTTTTACTCTTGTGCTCACTAATAAAGACTAATAAAGAAGTTATACCCAGTTTTTAACTCCTTTCCTTTCGACCATTAAAAAAAAAAATTATTTCAGAATTCACTGTTGTGATTTCAGTGGCCAACTGCCAGATGTACAGTCTTCAGATAAATGGAATATTAGTATTTTTTTAAATTAACAACAAGGGGAAAATGGCCAAATAAACAAAAATTCAATACAAATAATTATCCAAAGATAAAATTTTAAAAATCAAAGAGCCCAAATAATCCCAAGTAAACATAGAAGTATAACCATTTCAAGAAATAACTAAATTAGCATTTCTTGAAATTAAACCCCAATACTTTTAGCACAGAGGTTGCTGTGATGCTAAACACTGTAACACTAATGTGTCAAATGCGATAATGGTTACCCATGGTGGACAGTGTTTGGTGGAGCTCCCTGAGTAAAACAAGCTTGGCAGCAGGAGTGGCATTCAATTCCAAAATAGCTTGCCTCCAGAAACTCTATGAACTTGGAGAAACAATTAAAGTTATACAAGTGTTCAGGTGTTTCCTTCACGGGGTCGCTTTGAGTCCTCTACAACTTGTGGGCACTTAACAACAACTCTTAATATCTAGAGATTAGTTTGTTCATTGATCATTAGGAGAGATCTTCCTCGTAAAATCTTAGCAACAGCAAAGATAGTGTGCTTGAAGCTGAGAACAGGACTTAAGAAATGTACATCATTACGGAAAAAATAATCCAGGGTATGAGGCATTAAGTTGTTGTTGTTGTGTGCTGTCGAGTCGTTTGCAATAGCCCTAAACCCTGCTCTATGCTGTGCCAATCGCACTGCCTCTGACACACCCATCCCGATTACCCCAGTCACTGAATCAATCCATCTCATACAGGGTCTTCCCCTCTTGCACCGTCCCTCCACCCACCCAAGTATGATGTCCCTCTCCAAGGACCTGTCCCTAAGAGCTTGGGAATTTTTTTTCTTTAAATTTAGTTATAAAACATTCATCTAACAATCCCTTCTAAACCCGGCTTGCACTTTTGGCAGTTCTCTGTTGATGAGCTGCTCCAATTATTTTTGGATAATCTACAGCAGAATCTCACTTGCATGATATTAATGATAGTTAATTTCTACACACTGTCGCATCACTGTTCTTTGGAATGGGATCAAATATAGATCTCCTCCAGGCAGCTGGCCAGGTGGTTGTCTCTTCCAGATTTCTTGGCACAACCTGGTGAGCATATCTATGGCAGAATGTTTGCTGAAATATATCAATTGGTATACCATCAATTCCTAGGGCCTTGTTTTTGGCCAATTCTTTAAGAGCAGCTTGTACTTCCTCTATCACCACAGGCTCTTATTGCTCATATGCTGTTTTATGAAATTCTGCCAATTCCTTTTGGTACAATGACTCTATACTCTTTCCATCTTCTTTTAATACTATTGATCCTTCTTCTCTGTTCCCAACATTTACATTCCAGTCATCCATTATTATTAATGCATCTTGACTGCATGTTTGATTGATCTCTGACTG